ATGGACATAGTTTCCGGGCTACTACTACTAGCGCGTATGCTAGTTTCTCAATGTCGGGATGTTTGGTTTCACATCCTACAAAACTTTACTTATGTAGTAGATTGGTCGTTGGACCCGGTCTACTTCTCTGATTAGTACCGAGCTAACCACCTCGTCACTCGCGGAGAGGTACAGCTTCAGTTCGTCTCCTTCCTAAGGTTGTGTCAAAACGGGGGCGGTACTTAGGTACCTTTTTAGCTCATCAAATGCGAGCTAGCACTCTTCATTCTATGCAAAATCTTCATTCTTTTTTATCACCTTAAAGAAAGGTAGGCATTGACTCGCCGATTTAGACATAACCGGATGAGAGCGGTTACCCGGCTAGTGAGTCTTTGAACCTCTTTTATTTTTTGGGGCGGTCTCATATCTAAAATGGCCTTGATTTTATCCGGGTTGGCTTCGATGCCACATCGGTTCACTATGTAATTGAGGAACTTAGCTGATGTGACCCCGAAGACACACTTGTTCGGGTTAAGTTCCATGTTAAATTTCCTTAGAATTTGAAAAACCGAATTCAAGTCATCGATTAAAGAATTGGAAAACTGGGTCTTCACAACCATGTCGTCAACATAGCACTCTATTTTATTGCCAATCAAAGGCTCAAAAATTTTATTTACAAGTCGCTGGAAAGGTTCTCCAGCATATTTTAAACCAAAGAGCATGACTTTATAACAATACAGCCCTAGCTCAGTTACAAAGGCAATCTTGTTCTGGTCGGCTAAGTCCATCCTAATCTGCTTGTAGCCAGAGTAGGCGTCCATGAAGCTTAGCAACTCGTGCCCCAAGGTCGCATCTACTAGGCGGTCTATTCTGGGAAGGGGGAAGCAGTCCTTTGGGCATGCTCTATTTAGGTTGGTGTAGTCGATGCACATGCACCACTTGCCGTTGGACTTCTTCGCCAGCATGGGGTTAGCAACCCAGCTCGGGTAATGGACCTCCCTAACGAAGTCTGCAGCGAGGAGCTTCCCGATCTCCTCATCGACTACCCTTCACTACTCCAGGGCGAGGTTACGTTTTCTTTGTCTAACTGGCCTGATAGTTGTGTTTGGAGTGGTTCGCTTATCAGGGCACCGATCTGGAGAGTCTTCATCGGTTTAGTCTTAGAAATCGGTATGTGAAGTGTCTCCTCCATCGGGGCAGCTCGCTCCTCGCTCCTCGATGTAGTCCGTTAGTTGCTCTAGCTCAACATCATCTGCCAATTTTTCCTTTCCTTTCAATGCAACCACGTATAGGGGAACCAAATTGGTCAAAAACCGAAACCGGTGGTACCAATTCGGTTTCGCTTTGGCAAAATAAAAAAAAAAAAAAAAACGGTACCACCGATTCGGTTTACAAAAAGGGGCCATGGTTCGGTTAACCGAACCGTGGACACCCCAAGCCAAGTAGTACTTCCAGGACTCGAGCTGGTCACCTCGTACAGCCCCTATTCCGTAATCTGTCGGGAACTTCATCGCTAGGTTGTATGTCGATACTATTGCACGTAAGACGTGCTGGATGGGCCGACCTACGATCGTGTTGCAAGGGGGACGAAGTCATGACCCCCAAAAAGGCATGCTCGAATCGTACTATGTTTGGCCATTTCCTACCTCTACTGGTATTGTGATTCGACCAAGGGGTCTGACTTCTTCGCCGTTGAATCCCACCAAGGGTGTGTCTGCTGGCTCCAAGTCGCTTTGCTTCAGCTGTAGCCTATCAAAAGTCCCTTTAAATAGGATGTCGGCTGAACTACCTAAGTCCACCTGTATCCGCTTCACTTTGAAGTCATTGATGACAAGTTTCACCACAAGAGCATCGTCATGAGGGTACTGTATCCCACGCACGTCGTCCTCGGTGAAATAGATAAGTTCTTCTATCCGATGTTTCGGTGGGTTTTCTGCTTCATGCCTTAGCTCTCTGATTGAGGTCTTCCCCATTGCTGTAGTGCACCCCGCCACAATGGACCCTTCAGTGATCATGTTGATCACCCCGAGGATCGGTCTTTCTTCTGGTAGCTACCGAGGTGGCTGCTCGTTCTGTCTGCTTGACTCTGGAGCGTCTCTCCTCCGATCTCCCTGTCGGTCTCCTTGTCCTTTCTCTTCGTGCAAAATATAGTTCTTTAGGTATCCGCGATGAATGAGCTCTTCGATTTCATCGTAGAGGTTCCGACAGTTCTTTGTGTTGTGGCCATGGTCCCGATGAAAGTGACAGTACACATTTGAGTTCCTAGTCATTGGGTCTCCTCGTAGCCTAGGTGGCCATTTTGACGAAGGAGGAGTCCTTAATTGCCATTAGGATCTCTCTTCGCTTCACGTTGAGGGGAGTGTAGTTGGTTCTTTCTACAGGAGGGGTCCTAGATTGCCGACTCGACTTGTGGCTTCGGGAGGGGGACTTACTTCTTCTCCTTGGTGACTTGCTCTTCTTCCATTTGTGTTTGCTGCTGCTCGTATCTTCTTCTTCTTTCTTTCTCTTCTCGCCTTGTTGGTTTTCCGGTTTCTGATTGAGCTCTTCTTCGGTACTTATGAATCTCTCAGCTAACGCGAGAAACTCTGTAATGGTCTTCGGCCGATTTACTCTGACGTACCACCTAAACTCCTTGTGTGTGACTCATTTCCGAGCTGTGGTGAGGTGTATTGTTGGGTCGAGCTCTGGTATCTGTAGGCACGTTTCATTGAAACATTTGATGTAGCTCCGGATCAGCTCGCCTTCCCTCTGCACCATGTTTAGAAGGTTTTCTTGTGACTTCGGACACTTCTTACTAGTGATGAAGTGGGCTATGAACATGTCCATGAACTATCTCCAACTTCTGATGGAGCCTAGCATGGGGTTCTTGTACCAAGCACGGGCTGATCCTTTGAAAGTGGTGGAGAAAGACACACACATACATGCTTCGTCAGCCCCGATGAGATGCATTTGAGACTGGAGCGTGTCTACATGATCATTGGGGTCGTAGGATCCGTCGTACTTGTCCAACAGAGGTATCTTGAAATCTTTCGGCATTGGGACTACTAGTAGCTCGGGTGACAAGGGGGATTGCTAGCTCAACAAAGCTGGAGCTGCTCGTGTAGCCACCAAACTTACCTCTTCCCTTTCCTTGCTCTGCTCCAACGGTTGGTTGTTCTTCATTGGCAGGCTGTTCTTGGCTGAGGAACAGTGAGTCTTGTGCCGCTGCCACTGTTGCTTCTTTACTGGCTCGACGTTGGTGCTGTTGACTTCTGTATGGTTAGACACTTCGATTCTAGTCCACTCTCGCTCCCAAACACTACCGCGAGGTGGATCAGGGTTCCTTATTGCTGCTTCTTCTTGATCTCGAGACTGGCGTTGGCTGTTGTGGGGTGTCGAGGGGTCCTGTCTTGAGCCCGCACCCTGGGCCTCGAGCTGGCAGTCATTGCGTTGTGATCCATTGTTCTCCAGCCGCGAATGTTGTTGTTGACTGGCCCTCTCGAGCTGGTTGGCTTCGGGCCTATCCTTCGAGTTCCCCCTTTGGGAGACTGGGGGAGTGTGCTGCCTGTCCGTCCTGCCCAGAGGTGGGGTCCGACCCTTGTGAGGGACCGGTACCTGCGAGGTCCCCTCACCCCGATGGGGAGATCGGCAGACATTTTGATGGGCCCTATGCTGGTTCTGTCCTTGGTACTAACCTATGTGCTAGGGTGGAATCTGCTGTTAGCTTGGCTGTAGTGGTGGAAACTGCTACTGGTATTGTTGGTAGAAATAATACTATTGAAACTGCTGGAATTGGTGGATCTGCTGCATCTGGATCTGCATCATCCTGGCACTCTGAACGAGGTCATCAAACTGAGAATGCTTGACCTTAGGAGGGATCACAGAAGGCTTTGAAGGTGGTGTTCACCTGGGGCAACGAGACATTTATCTATTGGGTTGTCTGAGGCACTGACAGAGAGAGGATCCCTAAAGCAGTTAGGGGAATGGTAAACTGCCCGATAGTCACTGAGGGGCCTTGAGGGAGTGACGTTTGGTGATCCTACCCCCCAGTGACGTTCATGTCAATGTCCTTACTGGTGTTGCTGGAAGATGCCATTGAAAAAGAGTGTGGTGGTTGGTGAAATGTAGTGCTGACTAACCCGACGAGGTCACTCTGATGCTTAAGTCAATACTGTATTATGGTTGCGAGCTGAAAACTTGCGTGCTAGAATGTTAGTGAGCAAGTAATCGCACGTACCTGAGTCTTGGGGGTTGATGCCCTTATATAGCTGAGATGCTGTAGGTCTCTCGAAACATTCCTGGAAATTTCAACCCATGATGTTGGGATCCGTTCCGCTTTGGTAGGAGAGTAACATGTCAATTAATGAGGTTTATCGTTTCCCTCTGATTCGGACGGGGAGAAGATAAGGCCTACGGTTACACAATGTGATCCTGGGAAGTTCGGAGATAATTGGTGACCTTCTAGGTTCGGTTATGTGACACCTTGGCGTGTGTGGCTACCGAGGTGCTCTAGTACCAAGGCGCTTTGATATCGAGGTGCTGTCATCGCATCTCATGCTAATCTATCGTCTAGCTGGCAAGCCGCATCCACGTGTCCCTTACGTCGGGCCAAATCACGCCTCATCATATTCAATTTTACCATGTCTAGTTCTGTGTGCAAATATTTGGTTTCTAACTAAGATTAGAATCCAACATTTCACCACTCAGGAGCAATGTTTCCCACATCAACTATAATCAATATTTTTTCAACTATTTTCATTAATATATATATATATATATATATATACATATGTTTTTATAAAAAAAAAATAATATAAAAATTTATAAAAAATGTAATTTAAATAATATATTTATAAATAAATAACATATATACATATACATTATATATAAATAAATAAGTAATAACATATATCCGATCGGATAGGGGTGATTCGAAACCAAAAATCAGAAACATATCGAATAAGACTACAGTATCGAAGTTTGGATCGGATCGAATTATAACCTGATCCATTTGCACCCTTAATGACCCTAATAAAGGAATGGGGGAGGAGAGGCAGACACTGAGTGAGCAGAGCAGAGATATAGAAGCAGAGTCCGAGCGAGTCGCGGGCGGTTGACTTGGGTCTGGAGAAGGAGAATGGAAGGGAGAAAAGTGGTGGTTTCAGCTCTGCAGTTTGCTTGCTCCGATGAAGTTTCTGCTAATGTCGATACTGCTGAAAGGTAATTTTGCTTTCTCTCTTCTTCTCTCAATTTCTTTCTTCTTCCAACTTGAAAGGAAAGGGAAAAACGTAATTTAGTGGCATTTCCATTGATATTTCGTTGGAAAATGAGTTCTAGCTAAGATTTAGTTAGCTAGAATCCAAGATATGTGTAAATCAAGGTTTCAATGCCGTTTTGATCAGTTTCTAATGATGCGTAATCACCTTTTCAATTTGCATTGATTGGAATTAAAAGCATATTTTATTATGATTTCAAACTTTGTTGTGTTTCTACTACTCATGATTTGTTGAAATTTAGAATCAAACCCTGGTGGGTACACGTTGTTCAACTCTACTATCTGATTAATTAGGTCAAGGAGACACTTCCGAACTTGCATGAAGTCAAGACCTTCTTAGACATTCAAATGTAATTTATGCTGTAAAAATATGTTTTTTTTTTTTTTTTTCCTTCTGGCCTCGGCTCTTTTCCTGATGCTGGTGTTTTTTTTTTGTTTTTTTTTTTAACAAATGGTTATTGTTGTTGATCTCCCTTCACTTTTGACTTTTTTTCATATCATTTCAACGGTTCTTTATTTTTTTTTCCTTCTCTGCTTTAGTTCATTCCCACTTAGTGGGCTAACTAACAAATTTTGCCATCCTCTGTTAGCATCATTTTGCAATATATCCAATTAGTTTGTGCAAGACTGTCTTTTTTTTTTTTGTTTTTAATTTTTATTTCAGACGCAACTTCAGCAAACTCAGTCAGCTGTTAATAGACTAAGGGGCCGTTTGATAACTGCTGAAGTTGCTCAACTGAAAGACTTATTGCTTTGTCTTTTAGTTGTTAAAATAATTAAATAATAAAATTTTCAAGAATTTAGTGGTTCACCCAACTTCAATTTTAGCCATTAAGGAGTTCACAACCTCCTTAAAATCTTACTCTAAAAGACAAAGTGATAATCTCTTCAATTCAGCATCTTCAGCTGTTATCAAACAGCCCCTAAGTGATAAATAGAGTGAAAGTTGTTTGAGAATATCTGTGGAAGGAGCACTTCAATTTTTTCTTTTTCTATTTTTTACTTATCTTCCTTTTCTGTAGTAGTCGGAGTGACCTTCCTTGTTTATGCAGGTTGGTTAGAGCTGCTCATAAGAAGGGTGCAAATATCATTCTCATTCAGGTATGAATGAATATGCACTTGAATCCTTCATTTGTCTGCTAAAAGTTGCTGGGGGACTATTCTTAGATCCTTGGTTAAATAGAACTAGTGTGTTGATGCGTCCTTATTGTAATTCCCTTCTGCATTCCTCAAGATATTCTGCTTGATGTTGCCTCTCTTCAATTTTTGATAAATGAGGATCTATTTAGTCACATGTCAGTGTTGAAGGATCAATCTGAACTCTGAAGTTTAAGACAAATCCAATCTGCAAAGCTTTTGTCATGAGTTGGTAATTCTTAATTGAGCATGAATTGGTCAACTTTCTTGGTCCTTCTTCCTTATATTCTGACTTTTCTTGATTAGACCATATTGTAGCTGTTTCTTTATTTTCCTTTTTTGGCAAAATAGCATTACTATTACTGAGCAGAAAAAGGAACATTAGAAATGGTTAGCTTACTGTAGGATATTGGTTTTTGATATTTACAAGCATGATAAGCTAAAAGGTGAGCCTACTGTAGGATATTGGCAGGTTCATTAGCAAGAGCAGGGGTGGGGAAAGAGGTATTAGATTGGGGTTGCCCAAGCCCGGGCTGTAATTTGTAAAGTTTCTGGTTGTGGCTGTTTTTATAGTTCCTTGTTTCCTCCTTTTTACTTTATAAGCCTGCTGCTCTCTGATGAGCTATCAAAAAAAAAAAAAAAAAAGAGCTTACTGAGAATATGTATGATCTTTTGTTGCTTCAGCATCTGGTTAGAGCTCTGATTTCCAAATCATGGCTCCCATATGCTTTGCATGCTACACCTCCTGATGTGATGATGAGATTGTTAGTTGGTTGATGACATAAACAGTCTCTGCATTGCCTGTATCACAGTTGCATGAACCATCTGTATACAGATGAATTGCAAATTCTGAATTCTGAGAGGCTGAACTGTGCTGAACAGTGCTTTGTCTTGCAATGTGTTTGACATGGAGTTTAGATTTTCTTTGTACAAAAAAGAGGTGATCTCAAAATTTGTTTCACCTTTGGGAACACCCTTAGATCCTATTTGGGATTTTGGGTTTCGTAGAGGACTTAGGGATGCTGAAATTGAGTCTCTTTCTATTTTGCTTGGTTGTCTTAATCAGTTTTGTTTGGATCCCTCCAAGCCAGATAAGAGAGTTTGGACTCCTAGACCCATTGGAACCTTCTCTTGTGCTTCTTTCTTCAAAT